TTGCTTAAAATAAATTATCGTTATTGTATAGCTAATTTTCATATAAACTCCATGATATCACAAAAAATATTAAAAAACAAGATCGTCTACATCATACTGGTGAGCATGATAATAGTAATTATAAAATAACTTACGATAAAGAGGCTCTTAAAATACTTCGAATTAAAAATAAAAGCTTTCAAATAACTTCAAAAGCTAATTCTATAAATATGTTAACATTCCAATTCGAATTAATAACACGATGGACCGGTAAACAGGTCAAATTATGTTAAACATCACATTAGAATAATCGTGATTTTCCCGAATTGTAGAAGTTTTGTTTGGATTTCATCGTCTCATAACACACTTTTTGCAGTTATACCATTCCAGTCTCCGTTAGGGTAGTCTCATCATTTTTGTATTCGAAAAGACGACGCGTGTGCGAACGGTCTCCGATGTGGAAATTCACGCGACATAATTTAAGTTCCTGATGAAATGTATCCGCGGATAACTCCAATGAAAGATGAAAATATAAAGATACGAAAATTAATATTTGTTTAATAAAGTACATTTTAAATGCAAATTTCGCTAAATTTTAAAAATAATTTGATTTTAATAAGCAAAGAAACTCAATTTCAGAAAAATAGGCTTGAATTTATATCAACCCTAATTTTGTCGTTAACCATTTACATCATGGTTTTTATGGTTCTACAATGTTTCTTCATAAAGGAGTATCATTAATTCAAGATCATGCCAGATAATTTATTGTTAAATAATATTCTGAGAATGTAACTTCAGGTGAAATCGAATATATTCCAATGTTAAATATAGAAGAAGTCGTGTTATTATCGAGAGTATTAAATAAAAAAAAATTCTAATTTTGTTTGTTGTTTAAGTTGTTCGTCTGTGCTGTGAGTGAACGTTTTTATATTAAAAGGTGAATAAAATAAAACCATTTTTTTCATCAACGAGGCCGATATAGAAATCATTCAAAAGAATTATCACAAATAATCGCAAGAGCATATATTTTGCATGTCACTTTCACTTACCAGGAACTTCTAGAGAAGAACACGCAGATAAAAAGAGTTTGTTGTGAACCCAACATTCATTCTATTACCTTACGGTCGGTTTCAAATAACGGATCGTTAAAAATAAACTCTACTGAGAAATAACATAAACGGCGTGGTAAAATTTTATTGCTTTCTATAGTACGCTTTAAATTTCGCAGTAAAGGAACTGACGTAACAGGTGGTATCCATAGATTCATAGAGACCGACTTCTTTATACGAATACGAAACTTTGAACCATTAAGGATAAATACTGTAATTATATAAGTATATATGAAATATTAAGCGTCGTCGTGTTCAAGACTTTGAAAATCATTTACTTCACAAATTAATTTACAATATAATAAAATGAATGTTACCAGTTATTTAAGTTCAGGGTGATATGTAAGTATTCGATTCATCATGTAAAGAAAATTATTTTTCTGTTATAGTTTCGATTTTAAAAATTCTGCAAAGTATTCTGCTGTTATTTGCTTTACTTATTAGTAAGAATATAATGGCTTTTTTTAATTTGAAAGAGAGAGACTTTTAATTATTTCTATCTCAGAATAAATTAACTTATCTTTTTTTACTTTTTTATTTTTTTTTTTTTTTGTATATCTTATAATATTTTGCTTTATTTCAATTATTTGAATATGATAGTAAAGTATATTTAATTCATTTGTTATTAATTACTTTAGTTTTATCTTTAGTTCCTAAATGTTTAAAAACTATTTTTTTGCTTCTCTTATCTGTAAACCTTTTTTTGTTTGATACTTTTATTTGTATCTACAATTCTTAATAATAGATAAGAAAAATTTTTTTAAATAATCAATAAATTGTTATTTTAACAAAAAAATGGCCACTAAAAAAAAAATCTGATGAATTTTTAGTCTACATAATATTTATCTAGCGAAAAAATTTATAATTCTTAACTTCCAATTTCGCAGAAGAAATTAACATTTTTTTCAAATTATCATTTGAAACCTCATTTCAAAAATCATTTTAAAAAATATTAAAAATTTTATTATTGTGTAATATTGTAACTTAAACTTACTAAAGTTTTTCGTAAATTCTGTTATTAAAGATTAATAATGAAAAAATTTTATTTAAGAAATGAAAAACAAGAAATGGTTTAAAAAAAAATGTTTATAAATAAATAAACTTTATTTGAAGCATGATCTCCATTAGCTGTGTGATAATATGGATATTATACGGAGGTATTTACATTGGTTAACGTTAATACCGTATAATATTCATAAAGTATTGTTCGTTTTATTTGAAATATAATGTATATTTGTTAATTAGTTTTATGTAAAATTGAACCAGTTAAAAAAGACAAAGTTCTTCACCCTTATAATGGTTTTTCAAATTTATTTTTTTTAAAAAAAAGTATTATTATGTTTTCTTCGTATAATCTTCACAATAGGTGTTCATGCATAATCTTGACATTAATTTACTGGAAAAATGTCATCATGAACTACTAAACTCACATTGATGTTGCAGATCAGTGCTTTATGCGAAATTTGAGTTGTACCGTTCCCTAATAATACTACTTGACATAATGAAAATAAAGTCACTGTATCACATTCTTTAAAAATTAGATTAATTGACTAATTGACAGAAATGATATGAAATAAGAGGAAAGTAAATACGATTTCAATTCTGTATTTATTTTTAATATTAAGTTTGGTTTATTTCTTTTTTTATGAAAAAATATAAAAATAATTTAGACTACATCAGGAAAATTTTTGATGCGAAGTATTACAGACCAGAGATATCGAAATCAATTTCTCTGGTTGAATATTCTAAAATGTATGCAATATATAAATTAGTAATAAATTTAATTAATATGTATATTTACATAATCACATTACCTTCATTATATTCATTAATATTCACAATATTCGCATTAATATCTATTTTCAATTCTTTTGTCACATAATCTAATAAATATAGAATAGTTTAATTATATTTTAATATTCTAGGAGTAATTATATTTATTTTCGTTAATTTTTTTTTTGTAATTCATTGATATTTTTACCGTTAGAAATAAATAATTTAAACAAAGCAAGTTAATATTACCATTATCAGATATTCTAATTTCTTTATTGCTTTTGTTATCATCAATTAATTCATCTGTAATCTCTCTTTTATCTTTATTTTTCCAAAAAAAAAAATATAGTAATTAATAAAATTAAAAAGTTAAAAAATGATCATTCATATAAATATATACCATTGAAGGTTAAAATATTCTTTTGATAATCAACAAATGGATCTAAACAATTCAACGAAATCTTCATTAATTTTTTTAATCAAAAAAAAAGCAAAAAATAAAAATAATCACCGAATTCTGTAACGGATTGACTTCTTGATAGTATCGCAGATCTGCTTAATGGTCTACTTTTATATACTGCTCCTGGATGATTCGTGGCTATAGGTCCAATATCTGATGATAATACGATATTTGTTTTATTATATAGTTCATTTAAGTGCATATCTAAAACTTTAATATTTAAATCTTTGGCTGTTGGCCTTTTATTTGGGTCAATATGCCAACATTTTCTCATTAATTCGATATAACCCTCAGGTGCATTTGTAA